GCCACCTACAGGCCACTTCTGGGAAGGGAGTTGGACTGGAGCCGGTCGCTTGGGACAAGGCTTGCTGCTGAAGGAAAAGAAAAGGGATCGCGCCAGGGTTCAGGTGGCTGCCCCTGAGGGAGAAGCTAATGCCAGCCAGGTTACTAATGCAGCTTTTCGGCCCTGCCTGCTGAGTTCATGGTGTTATTTCAGCCTCCTGCAAATCTGTCTAGACGTCAGAATCCCGGCCTGGGCAGGGCTCAGAGCCCATGGCTTTGGAATGGGGATGGAGGGGTAAGCTGGGAGCACCTGGGCTTGGGGGAAGTAAGGCTCCTGCCTCATTGGCTTCAGGGGTCCCCCCACCCTACTTTCAAATGAATCAGGAGGAAGAGAAAACAGTAGCTGGCTGGCCCTTGGAATGAAGCTACAAACAACTGCTTGCATTCAATTCAACAAGCATGCCGGGAGGACTAACTGTGGGTAAAGTCTGCAAATATTCGGGGTGGGGAGAAGATCCCTTCATTCTGCCATCCAAGAGGGGAAGTGACTTCTACAAGCCACAGATAAATGGCAGATTCTACTGGGTGTGGAATCCAGACTTTCGGACTCAAAGCATAGGCTCTGATCATGGGAACAAGAGCTGAGGATGACCTCGTGAATCCTTTGGTCCAATTGAGTTTGCAGATGGGGAAATTGAGATGCAGCCAGGCAATGGGACTTCCATAGCCTTTACTGCACTAAAGCAAGGAAAATCATGAAAATATGTGTGTTTTAAAGGACACACAGAAGAGCTCCGGGGGCCCTCAGAAGGGCCTCATAGCTGAGATGGAAGGGAGTGAGAAGAAGAAGGGAGGACACCCAGGACCACTCTCCTCACCCCTCTACCCTGAACTACAACACTCCAGCTTCCTCAGTTTTCCTGAGTAGTAACATCACAGAAAATTAGTCCCTGGAGAGGAGAGGTACTCACTTCGCAGAGCCTGGACCAAAAGGGATCCTGTATGTGTGTTTGGGTTGGGGGTGAGGATGGGGGTGAGGGTGAGGGTGAAAAGGATGAAGAAAATAGTACAATCAGAGTGAAAAAGAGTGGAAATATCCCCTCCCCCTTGTCCTGTGCCAATCATGAGTTCTGTCCAGTTTTGATTAGGTGGGTTGGGACAGTAAGCATCCAAAGGAAAGTTAGGCCCTCCCCTCCACCCTCCCCTGTCCCTCCTATCTCAAAACAGGATACAATTTAGTCCCAGCTAGGGCCAGGGGCCAGGAACAAATGCTGTTGGGCCAGCTGGCCAGACAGTTCCCAATTAGACTTTGTTTCTCATCCTTCAGGCCCTGAGCCCCCAACCCCTGCACCCTGGCCCAATTACTGCCCAGCAGCATTAACCCCTTGGTGCCCCAGGCCGTTAATGGAATGTTAATTGGTCTAATGGGTTTCATGTCAACAAGTCCTAATGAGCTCCTTCTAACGAGCTTGGCATTTTTTTCCCCCTAAGCCAGTGTTTGTCAACACGCTGGGATTTGTGCTCCAGTCTAAGGCCCTCATGCTGCCTGGCTGGGGGCGGGGTAGGCGGGAGACCCAGGGTGATGGGTGCCCTTGGGCTGCCTGTTTCTGTTTCCTAAAGGGCTGTCCTTCCATGCCCACTTACTGTCCCACAGCCTCACCTGGCTCTTGGGCCTGTAAAGTGGCATTTCCAGCTCCTTTGATGATCATATCAGTGACACTAATTATTTCCTCTTGGATATCATTGTGGAGTTGAGTGCTGCATTAGCAACCCGCCCCCCCCCCAACTCATAACTGTCTTCAATAAAGGTTTCAGCATTAAAAAGAAAACTTTCAACATGAGCCTGTTCGGGTGGGGAATTTCTCCAGGTAAATGTTCCCGGAGTGCCCTCCATTTGCGGATTTGGCTGTGCTCCTTGAATTCCCTGGTGTCTGGTGACAGAAGCGCAGGAGCCTGCACAAGGCCAGCAGCCAAGAGCCCTACCAAAGCTCAGGAACCTGACCTGGGCACCTCTTGCTCCCAAAGAAAGTATGCAAAGGGCAGGTTTCCACAAAAGGCCGGAACCCCAGCTATTACTCAAGGAGACCCCCAAATCCTGGCCCCAGAGTTCCAGCCAAGTCCCTGATAGGACGAATCAGATCCCCAAATTTCTCTCCAGGATGGTGGCACATGGCCCCTCAGGAGGACCAACTAGGATGGGGGTGTGGGGAGGGTGGAGGGTGTGAGGACACAGCGAGCTTCCAGGATGGATGTGGGGCCTTCTAGCACCTGAGCTCCAGAGGGTCAAGTTTCCTGAGGCTTCTGTGCCTGTATGAGCAGAGAAAGAAAGCCTCTGTTTAAAAGGCCTCCTGTTCTCTTGCAGTAGAGACCCCTAGAGGGTAATAGGGCAGTGGCCTACTGGCCTGTGGTGACTCCAGAAAAGTGGAGGGCCAAAGGCTATCCTGGGTCTTTAGAAAATTGTTCCTTTGCCCTCTGCAGAGCAGGTCTGACCCCTGATGCACAACCGGGCAGTCTCAGTACTAAAATGTCTCAGTCTCATGGATGGTCATCTCTGAGAGCAGACCACACTTAACTGTCCCTCCTTATCCCCGGAGAGAGCAGCCCTAATACGTCCAGGGATGGTGCTTCAAAACTGACCCTGCTTCCTGTTATTGGATGATGAACAAAAGAATGGGGATTAAACAATTTTCTGTTTAGCCCCTCTTTGCGTTTCCGGTTTTTTCCTTCACTGTGAATTTCTCACTTCTGGAATGAAGTTACCAAAAGACTCAATCCTGTGTTAAGGGGAACCAACCAGTTGCCCTAAGAGGGGAGAAAAATCTCCCTCCTAGATGCAGCTCCCACCCTGACTCTGCCAGCAGAGTCCCTCTTCTGGATGCATTTGGTACTGCAGTCCTGCAGCCCTTCTAGCCCCACCCCCAAACATCCCCTGAAATATCCCTTTTTCGTCAGCGTTCAAAAAAGGGAGAGAATAAACACTCATTTTGCTATTGATATCTCGTCTTAATTCTAGTTCTTTTTAATGTCTCAGTGAAGTTGTATCTGGGCTGGGACTGTAGCTTGCCTAGCATGTGCAAGGTCCTGGGATCCATGGACGAAGGAGGAGCAGGAGGAGGAGGAGGAGAAGATCTGTATCTTCTTCTTCTTTTTTTTTTCTTTACCTCTGAAACCCTCTCTGCTCTGCTCTTGCCATGAAGACAAGCCTGGACAATTCTCCTGCCTAAGCTTCTGTGCAAAAGAAAACCCAGATATCCGTGCCATCTTGTGTGAGATGGATGAGATTCTGCATGCTTTTGTCACAAGCATATCCTGGTGGCCCATCTTCTGGGGGTCAGGCCAGGGTGTGGCGAGGTACAGGCAGTGAGGCTAATGGGACTTCCCCACCCAGAAAAAGCCATCACTTCCTGCACCATCCCCACCTTACCATCTTTCCACCAGATTATCACCTCCCTCTATCAGCCACACTCCCTGCAGAGAAGACCTGGCCTCATTCATCTACCCTGTCTCACCCCTCAACACAGTTTCCTGCGCAGAGGTGGTATATGATAAACATCTTTTAAATGAAATAAATCACTGCTTTGCATGTACACTTGAGTTCAAATCATGCTTGGTACTTTGGAGGTTCAGGTCAGGCCAGGTTAGATCTTTAATGGCAGCTCTAAGACACCCTGAGATTCCCACAGAATTCAGGTATGTGGACAATTTGGAGGACCTTGGGGAGGGTCAGGATGACTGGGCATCAGACTGGAGGAGGGTGGCATCCTTGGAGAAGGGAGGGAGATCTGAACACTGGCTCCCCCAAAATTCTAGCTCATTAGCACCTCCACTCAGGAAATAGGTCCTGCATTCCAGATATTCTCAGGGATCTCCCATCCTACACTGGACAACCCTGTATCAATAACAAGCCTGTGGTTTCTGACTCCAAATATTCCAGGCATGCACTGTAGCTCAGCAGCTCTTTGGGCATTCTGCTTCCTTAGGTTGCATTGCCAGGATGGCTCCACTTACTGTACCATGTTCTAGTTCAAGGGGAAATTTTAAGGCCCCATGGGGGCTACTCACTTACTGGTGATGAGGTGGGGTGCAGAGAAGCAGACCTAGAAAACACACACACACACACACACACACACACACACACACATCCCTCCTCATGGCCTGTCTCCTCTATAAAAGTCAGGCTGACCACTTGGCTCTGATGGGCTTTTGGCCCCACATTCCTGTGACTCTCTATTGAATCAAAACTAAAAGAAGTCCTGGGCTCACCAAAAAAAAAAAAAAAAAAAAATATATATATATATATATATATAATAAAATTATATATATATATATATATAAATTATATATATATATAAATAAAATTATATATATATATGATGTTCACCTGCTTCTTTCCCTTCCAAAAACCTCTAGGTGGTCACCCTTGGGCTGCAGTTTGAGGAATGGCCAGAGTCCCACATCCCTTGCCACCACTAGGGGGTGTGGTGAGCACACTTGGGAGGGTGGGCAAGGTCTTGGAGATCCTGGAGCAGGGAAGTTAGGGACCTGAGGGTTTCCTGCCCTTGTGGATGCTGGTGGTTGCTCCAGAATGCCTGGAAAAGGTAGAACAAGCACACCTTTGTCTTGGGGTCTGGATTAAGCTCAGGGCTTTTCCAAGCCAGGCCAGGAAGGAGGGTATCCAAATGGCCTCCAATCCCCCTGGGCTACCACCAGCCAAGCCACCCTTCATTTCCTACACCCCACACATCAAGCCAGAGCTGATGCTAAACAAAGCTTCACCGCAGGGGTACAGGTTGTTTTACATATGATTTGAATATTGTTTCTTTCAAGTCAAAATAGCACAGCAAGCCCCTCCCCACCCAGGCCTCTCCCTTAGTTATCATTTGTTCCCCTGTAGGGCCTCCAGCCCTTGCTTATCCTGTCAGTTCAGGTGGTCCAGCCAGAAAGCGCATGGAGCTGGTTGGTCCCCCGGGCTGCCTATGCTTGGTGGTATTAATGGTGCGGTCTCCTTTCTCCTGCCCACAGATCCTCGATGTGAATCAATCCCATGATGCAACATGCCTCCCCAGCCCCAGCTCTGACAATGATGGCCACGCAGAATGTCCCTCCCCCACCCTACCAGGACAGCTCACAGGTGAGTGTGCCAGGGAAGAATGGGGAGGGAGTGTGGTGGCCTTGGCAACCTCATGGTGGTGGGGGGTTGATGTCTGTGATATTCTGCGGCTAACAGGCAGGGCTAGGCTTGCTTCAGTGTTAGCAGTACTGGAGGCTCTGCCTCTAGCAGGCCTGTGGAGGCATCTCTGCAGAGTCCTGTGAACTCAGACTCTAAAAAGGATTCATTGCCTTGACAAAATGCCATGTTTGGAGCCTACTTGGGTATTTCTGTCACTAGGACCATAAATTGGGGTAGTAGTCATAGACCTGTCCCCCACTCCCACTCCACAGACATTAGAACGTACAACTCGTGTAATCATCAAGACAAAATCCACACTCAGGTAAGATGTAAGTGAAGTCTACTTTTGAGTGTTTGGGGTATTTCCTGCTTAGGACTTTCTCAATACCAGATCCCCCTTACTTACTAGAGCCCTCTCGTCCAGGCTTCCTCTGCCTGCCTACTGGGAGAACTTCAGTTCTCATTTGGACTCTGCTGTGCTTCTACATAGAAAGAGCAGGATTCTTTCTCTGCACCCTCTATCGTCTTTTACCTGGTTCCCGGCTTGCACTCTCTGCTCAGCTTCCCCAGTTCTTCTGATACTTCCTGGTTTTAAATTCTGCAGTGGTTCTAGCACCTCCCGGGCAGCATCCTTCTCACAGTCTTCATAGTCTCTGCTTCTCGAAGCCTCCTGGATTGTGGGTGTTTGCAGTCCTTGAGACCTACTACTATCTCTGCTTTCCTCCACCTGCCCTCAGATCTCTGAGAGCCTAAGTTCTGCAACTGAGCTTTCCGTAAGAGGCTCCCTTCCCTGACCTGTCCCTTCATGCTCTTCTGTTTTCTCTACCCTGGTCTCACAAGTCAGTATTAATTCAATAATCTTTTTTTACTTTTATTACTTAGTGAGCATCTGTCACATGAAATGCACTCACCAGAATGTTTACTCATTCATGCATGTGAGCCTGTGTAGGGAGTGCCTACTGTGTGCCAGGTTACCTCTCTCCTCCAGCAGCTGTCTTCATCCTTCTCTATTTCTCATCATTAGCATTTCAAATGTAGCCCTCCTCACAGACCACAGGGAAGATCTGCATAAGGGTGTTAATAGGCAGTCCCAGGAGACTTTTGCTCACATTAGATCCTGTGGCCCTTGTGGTCCCAGCCTAATGTGAGCCTAGAGCAGCTGCTGTATACATCCTCCTCTTTTCCCAGAAAATGACCAGATGATATGGGCCGTTTTGCAGTGTTCTTCATTCAGACCACCTTTGACTCCTCTTCCCCTGAAAAGTACAAAAGCCCTGTCACTCACCAACCTTCCACCACATGTCCTTGAGTCACCAGCCTTGCCCTACACAGCAGCTTCACTCCCCTTCCTCAGCTCAACCCAACCAAATCTCATATTCATGGTTTGCTTCCTCCACGTAACTTCCCACAAATGACCTTTGGTCTGGACTTGGCATTTATACCAGCAACTCTGTTTGAAAGTTTTAGGCATCCAACAGTATATCAGTGTCCTTTCCTTTGTAGAGAAGTTCAGAAGGAGCCCCTAACTAGGGAGAAGAGAAAGTGACAGAGAAGAGGAACCTCTGAGTCATGATAGGGACCAGAAGCTAGCCTTCCTCCATAGATGCAGACCCATCCCTTAATCTGCTTGATCAGTGTTGGGACCTCCCAGGGTATTGAGAGGCACTGTTTCTTTTGTAACTGGATCCTGCTTTCCAAACTCCACAGTGGGACTGGGGAACAGAGGTGGGACATTGCTGTGTTAAGCAGGTAATGGGTGCCCATGGCCCCATACCCTAGGCTCAGGGATAGATAGAGCAGGCCTGAGAGGTCAGAGAGCACTGAATGGCACAGCTGGAGACGGCTGCTTCCTCCCTCTCCCCTCCCAGTGTTGCCTGCCTGGACAGCTGGGAGAAGTTTTGGTTTGGCAGGGATTAGCCAGAGAGCTGTAGTAAGGGCCTGTGTTGTCCAAGAATGCTGATCCAGAAGCCTAATTTAATTCTCAGCATACATACAGCTGGTTGAATAAATCCCAGCTGCTGAGGGAGGGGATGAAGGTGGGGCTGCAGCCCTAAGGTGCTCAGCCCCCCAGAAGCCACCACTGAGCTGCTCTGGCCTTTGTGGGTCTCAGTGTTCGTTGAAGAGTGATCAAGCCAAGGTCTTGGGGTCTTTATGGCCTTGGCTAAGCCACTAGGCTATGGCTAAATTGCCATTGGTCTTCCCTCAGCTGAGCTGGTTTCCAAGAAAAGGCCTGAATAGGGGGAATGTTAGGGCAGGGATGGAGGGGAGTGAGGAAGCGGGGGCTGAGGTCCCCCAACAAAGGTCCCCAACTCATGAGGCAAAGTTTGTCTTCAAAGTGTGGCCTTTGGAGCCAATTGACTCTAGAGGGGGCCCATCTCTCCCATTCTTTAGGCCTGGGGTGACTCTTCTTCCACATGTGCTTGGCCACTGGCATTCGATGACAGGACCTTGTGCTGGTCCTCCTGCCTTCCTTCCTCTCAGCTTTCAAGAGCTGACCCCAGCTCCTCAGGGGATGCTCCATTTCTCTTGTAATGTCATTATCCTAAAGAATCAGCTGCTCTCTGACACTCAGTGTCTTCAGGAAAGAGGGCCTTATAATAGGAACATAGGTCAGAGACGCAGGGGATTTGCATTCTAAACAGGGCTCTTGGGAATGGAGGCCCTTTCCCTCCTCATTCCTTCAGGTCGGCTCACTTCTAGCCCCTGTATGACACATCTCTATATCACCTCTTCAGAAACCCAGCTTCCTCCACAGGCAAGAAATGGACAGTCTCTGATATGAAGTCCCCAAATGAAAAAGGAAGCGAGAAGCAGAGCCCTTCCTCTGAGACCCGAGCAATCGTTTTAATAATGTTCCCGTTGTGCTAAGGGCTAGCAATACTGAACATAATCTATTCAAATGCACAGGAGAATGTCACTTTGGAAAATTAGGAATCTGCATTAAAAAATTCCCAAGCCCCGGACCTTCTTTATAATAAATTAGAAATTTTTTTTGAGGCAAGTTCTTAACTTGACAATTTTCATATTTGAAGTTTGGGGAATAAAGTTATTAAAAATGAGGGAGACTTTTTTTTTCTTCCCATTTTAGCAGAGAAACATTAATGATTATGGCCCCATGCTATTTGGGCATAAGCCAAAGAGGCATAGTGGCTAAGTGGCTTCTAGCCTCTCAGTACTGTTTGAGTCCATCCAGGAGAAATTCTATGATTACTCATAAAGACATCACTCTGTTTATTGTGTACTGAAGAATGACTGTACATTTAGAAATTGCAAAAGTAGTAACCCAGTGGAACCCTTCCTATAAACACTTCCTCCTTCCCATGGCTTACTATTACATTCTACTAGGGTAGCAGCACTCCCCTACTGTCTAGCTACAATAGCAGCATGCTGTAGCTGGGTCCTTAATCTAGACTCTCACTTTATGCCCAGAAGAGGTAGGGGTGAGCCACTGGGGATCATGTTTAATGAAAACACAGTCTCCAGGAAAATGATATAAGCTAGGTGTATAATCCCTCAGTTCAATACACTGTGTTAATTCCTGCATCACTCACTTTGTTCTACACCTCTGCCACAGTGGGCATGGCCATCACTGTCACCTGCACTTTCACAGTCCACTCCTCCAGCATCCCTGCTAACTATAATGGAACACCATTATAGTCACTCCCCTCTCGTAAGGGCTTAGAGTCCCAGCAAGTGTTTCTCTAGCCTTCCTCTAGAATGTGCTCACACTCATAGGCATTTATCCTTCATTCATGTACTCTCTCTTTCTACCCCAGAAATACCTTCTTCAAGTCTTCCTCTTTCCTATAACACTCTATATGCAACATCTTCCACCAAGCAAAGTTCTCCCTTCTGCAGCTCTACCAGCAACTCCGGGAGGTCATTGGGACTTACTAGGGAGGACAGCAACTTCTGCACCCTCATTTACCCCATGAAACAGGCTCTAGCTACCAGCACTCCCCACCCCATGCTTTCTCAAACATAGTCGCTTACCTGCTACTCCATGAACACCTTTGCCCTTGGTTCACAGGCAAGACACATATTTTTATCTGGTCTATTGGTGCATATATTCAATATTTTGTATTCTTCTGTCTGCATGTCCCCAGCAAGTCAGAAATCCTTGTCTGATCCACCAGGCCTAGCCCCTATGGATGTGGGCAGTCAGTGGATAATGTAGATTAGGAACGAATTGATAGGTAGGTAGCTGGTGTAGAGTGACTTGACAATAGCTGCTATTAAAAGGATTTTGGCAGCTTACTAAGTCTGAGCCTCATTACTGACCAGAGAGAACAAGACAGGCAAAGTCAGAACTTGAAGTTCTGGACTTGTATGGGAAGGTCACTTCAGAAGGAAGTTAAGCTTTGGCTCGAGGCTGCCCTGGAGGGAGGAGAGTGGTGTCCAGGATCCCAGCGTCTACACTTGCCAATCTGATGTAGAAACTACCTGCACACCTACCCTGCAAGAGGCCAGTAAGACTGGGGCCAGCTGTGTGTGGGGAGCCTAAGTGGTCTCTCTTGCTTCTCTGAGTACTTTCTTTCCCTCCCCATCCTAGCACCACCCCACTAGGCTAGGCCAGGGGTGCATCATCCTGGGGAATCTGGCTGGGCTTTGATCAGTCATTAGGATCCCCATGCTGGTTTCATTAACTAGAGACAGAGGGGGTGGCTGGGGCCTCTGGCTGTGAATGGCCTCCATCCAGGCTGTGCAGCTGTGATGGGCAGGGCAAGCGGGTTCAGATGTTGTCACACTAGTTTACATTCCTCTCATCTCTTTAAGGCCTGGAGCCCCCTGCCTTGCAGGGCCCTCTGCTCAGCTGCCTGTGAAACACATTTGCTCTGCCGCAATAGAGTTAATTCAGCTGCTTTGAAAGTTCCCTAAGCCTTTTCTGTAGCTGTGATTGACAGCTCCTTCTGCCCCTGGGGGCAACACCCCAGGGACCATATGGGGGACCCACCTTTCCT